TGAGTGATATTATATGATCTATCATATATGCATTTTTCAAGAGTATCTTCAATATTTTTTCTTAATTTCTGATATATCTCTTGAATATTTCTGAGATTAAATTAAAAGTATATATTCAAGTTTATAATATTGTAACATTATCTGACTATTATTATCCAAAAGATTATTGTAAATTAATAATATAGCTTCTTTAAGTTGAGTTGGCCAATCTTTATCCAAGATTAGTTTAACTTCTTTATAATAGATATTAATATTTTAGATTATTCTTCAGAGATATTTGAACTATCAGAACTTATAAATTTTGATTCTTCTTCAATATCTTCTTATTTAACATTAACTTTAAATTTGTCTTCAGAGAAAGTAATAATAAAGATATTTAATCAGTCAAAGTCTAAGTTAGTATTTGTATTAACTAGTTCAACAGATACTTCAAATAATTTAATATTTATTTATATATCCAAAAGAAAAGAGTTATTAATTTCAACATCTTTGATAAATTCAGGTTGCTTGAATAAATTTAAAAGTGTAATATTAATTTCTTGTCCTATATTATTACAGGTGAGTAATCTATAAGTTAAAAAGGTAATCATTTTAAAGAGTTGGTGAGCAAGCATTTTCTGATAGATTTTTTCAAGAGACTTGATTATTAAAAAGATAATCCAAGTTGATAATTGAGATATAATAAGAAATAATAAGAGTAAAAATATAAAGAAATTTGAAAAGATATAAGATAATAAGAGTAAAAGATAATAAATAAAAGTAAAAATGTAAAAAAAGAAAAGAGAAATACTATACAGCAGTACATTGATTTCTTTGAAAAAATCAGTGGAATTGATTCTTTAAATTAGAAAACTTATTGATATACACAACTGCTAGATTTTGCAAGCAGGATTCTCAAAGTTTTGCAAATGTTATGCAAAAATACAATTTGATATATTGTCAAAAAATCTTTTGCTATTGAGTCCTGAAACAAGTTTTTATATATATGTGTATGTGTGTGTGTGTGTGTGCATGTGCATGTATTAAATCCTCTGTTCGCTGACCTTTACATAAGTCGATAAAATACTCTGAGAAATTATATGTGATTATTAATAGAAATTAGCCAAATTAATTGACAAAATTTCGAAGGTGCTTGACTAATATATGATTTGATTCTTGCTTGGTAAAAATGCTGCCAAGTTAGCTAAATACATGTATGCCGAAAAATTTCTTTTGTTATTTTCGTTGGTTGCGCAAATTACCGTAAAAATTAGATAAAGTAGGGGAGTGTCCAACAATAATTTGTTAAAAATATGGGACTTTAGATATCAAGCAACGACAACATTATCTCAAGTTAGGTTCACAATCCTAAAATCAAAATTTAAATTTAATCAAGTTATGAAGGCTTGATTGATCATATGCTAAGATAGGATCAAAATTCGCATGATATCTGCGATCAATTAAAGCATTATGATCGATTCCCATCAAACAAATGTTGCATTAATTAAACTTATTATAAAAATAAGGCATTGAAGACGCAGAAATTTTATCAAAAAAAAAGCAATTTACAAATCAATTCATAATCAAAATTGAATATACAAATATTTGTTTAACCAAACCATATTAGTCAAAAAAATGATTGTTAAGATTTCTCTCTTCTTAAATGTCGTTATCATTCTCTTGGAATCATCTGTTGTATTGTCGACCCCAATCAAACGTGCGGTTGCGCCATTTCTCTTTGGTCCAAGTGCTAACAAATTAGAGAAGATAATGTTCGCTGATAACAACTTTGCTGCATCGAATTCACACCGATTTTTTGGTCCGTCTAGCATTGCCGATTCCTCAAAACTCGCTCATGTTGCTGCTTTAGATGACGCTTTCATAAAACGCGATCCCGGAATTTCTCATTTCCTCGTACCAGAAGCTGAGAAAGCTGAAAAGATTTTTTTTGCCGATAACAACTTTGCTGCATCGGCTTCCGACAGAATCTTTGGTCCATCTAGCGTTGCTGATTCCGCCAAAAAAGCTCATGTTGCTGCTTTAGATGACGCATTTATAAAACGTGATCCATCAGTTATGCACCCTCTCCAATTTTTGGGACCGGAAGCTGAAAAAATAGAGGAAATTTTTTTCGCCGATAACGTATTTGCTGCATCATCATCTCCTGGAATCTCTCCCGGAATCTTTGGTCCAACTAGCATTGCTGATTCCTCTAAAAAAGCTCACGTTGCTGCTTTAGATGACGCATTTATAAAACGTGATCCATCAGTTATACACCCTCTCCAATTTTTGGGACCGGAAGCTGAAAAAATAGAGGAAATCCTTTTCGCCGATAATGTATTTGCTGCATCATCATCTCCCGGAATCTTTGGCCCAACTAGCATTGCTGATTCCTCTAAAAAAGCTCACGTCGCTGCTTTAGATCGCACTTTCATTTAGTTTATGACAATTAATTAATGATGTAAAAATGGTTCAATGTAATGTGAATACCTTAAAATAAGTTTTTAAAATAAAATGGTTGATCAATATTTAGACATTTATATTTTATTATAAGAATTGCTAAAAAAATCAAAGCCAAGAGCAAACATAAGGACATATTTATTTTCTGTGGAAACAAATTAAATGGACACAATTTCAATATAGAAAAAGGTAGTATAGCTTATTATTATTACGATTAAACTGTTTAAATAAACGGAAGTTTAATTTGATTTTTATGCCGTTAAATTATAATAATTATATCGGATTATATTTTTTCAATTGCTAAGTTTGTTTTCCATAGAATCAAAAGCCAGACAACAAGTTAAAACCAAATTTTGTTTTTGCAATGACAATATTAAGATTGAATCTTCAAATCAAAGTTCACTACGGTTTGATTTCAAAACAAACATGATGTTTTGAGGGAAGCAAGCGTAAAAGATATTTTGAAGAGAGATCAGACTTAAATAAATAAATTTGAACTTTATATTTCTTTGATTCACGCTCTGAATGTCACTACATTGGATATATTAGAGGAAAATGGCATCGGGTTATCTACATTTAAAAAAATCCTTGATTTATGAATAACTCTCAATATACGAAAAAAAGTTAGCGTTAATGTTTTTCTAATCAATAATAACTTACCATCTTCCAATTCGCTACTCTAAATTATTAATTATGAAATTTATATTGTGGTTCTCTCCATACACATAATTCTTTACCAAGTAAACATTGATTTGGTTTCGACTTATTTTCGTAATATATAACACTTTCATTTTGTGCTTAAGAAAAAGGACAAATTTGATGGCATGCCTCAATTAGACGATTAAATTTAACGGTAACAATCTAGAATATAAAATGATATCTACAGTATGTCTGTCTATAAGCCGACATGATGACATAGCACCGATTTTTGATGTTCATTACATGTAGCCAAGAGACGATCTTGCAAATTAAAAAACTAAAATGAAGATAACAGCGTAACAGCAGTGTTTACGTAATTCATTAGAATGTAATGTGATATATTAACAATCACACGAAGAAAAATATCGTTCTTGCAATAGGCGTACTTAACATGATCCTGTCTACTTGAAAAAGAAGATAGATACCCGCTTTTGGGTCGATGTGTAACTCCAAAGTACATGTACATTACATGTATTATTTTACATGTATATGTATTATCTTATCTTATCAATTTATTAAAGCATAAACAAGGTAATGTTTCTTCGCGATTTAATAATCTTCATATCTGTTTTACAAAAGAGGAATTAAAAAACAAATATTAAAGGAGATCGAGGTATTATGGCGAAGATGGGTAGTGTGACGAAGATGAGTATTATGAAGTGAAGTCATCAATGTATATTATATTAAAAGATATCATGCATGTCAATAATTACAGCATGCCTACCATTACACATGTTGTTAATGACATTTTTCTATAGGCATGATAGCTTTCGGGATAATGTGAGTTCGTCACAATACTCAACCTTCACCAAAATGCCTCGATCTCCCTTAAATGGGTAAATTTACCTTACAAATTGTCGCTTGTGGGATACAAAATATTTGAAATAAATTTTTAATTAGTGCGCAATGTCAAGATGATTTATATTTAGTAACAAAGGTACCTGTATCAGCTGGAACTACTTAATTTCGTGGTAGAGATTCGACCGGTTTAAACGATATCCTTTGTTTTTGCTTCTAATTCGGAGTATTATTCTATTCTAGGACACTCAATAAATAATTCTAAAGAGCTGCGGATAGATAGAATAAATGTTTTCTGGAATGGAATTCTAAGATTTTTCAAAAATAAATTGTCACCATCCCTCTTAGGTGTCCTGAATAATATACAAGATATTTATCATGAATTTGCTCCCCGTGTGGTATTCACCTGTACAATCTCACACCATGATCATCCCCAAATTTATAATAACTACAGCCTTAGTACTTCCGGACCCATGTAGGAAGTACATGTAATTTGAAAATTTCTGTTTAAAATTAGCTATTTAAATTATCTATTCAAAATCAGGACAATTGTGATCTGAATTAGGCGTACATGTATGAGCTCATCTATAATAACTATCGTTATTAAATTTCTTCCCAACCTAATTCGTTCGTCGATCGTCGTATCAAAGCAAGTTACTTTTGTTTGTTTGTTTGTTTTGTTAAATGTTAATTAAATATTTAACGTTAATTTCAAAAAGTGCAACGATGATCTTAAAATTAATTGAAAAACCTATCAATATGTATACTTCGAATTTCATATAATCATACTGGTAAATTCAAATTTATGTGTATTCCTTTATTTGGTATCTTGATAGTCGAACCCATTCATTTAGTAGAAAGGAAATATACCAAACTCGGGAGTATTCTTCACCATGTGGTACTCATGTCAAAACAATCAAACGACAGTGACATGAGTTATTAAAACTTTTTTGGTAATTATTTGTTGTGATTTTGATACAAGTAATGATTCTATTTGCGTATGTGTAAGTCAACTCAACTTTTTTTTAACGTTGAGCATTGTACATGTTCATGCACAGTAATAAAAGAACAAAGCTATAGAATTTTCTATTTGTATTGTACATGTACATGTACCGGTACATGTAAATCGAATTTTTTGTGCTAACATTATGCATACATATCAATATCAGAGAATTTCACACACATCATTCATACGAATGTCATTGTCATTATCGTTATATACTTTGCATCATTCTTGTTCAATTGAAAATTTATTACACTGTATGATACCAACCCAGATATTCAGGTAATAGCTTGTACGATTCGTACAAATTTAACCACATGTATTGTATTCATTCTACAAATGACCAAACGTAATCGGCATGTTTATAGATAGATAGATTCTCCCTTATTTATTTCTGTTTCAAAGGCACAATGCATAAACACATTATTATTATGATCATTACGGTGCATTTGTATACATTAGCTTAGCGTTAGGGTCAGGGTTAGGGTTAGGGTATAAAAGATTGGCAAGTCTGAGAAAGTTTTTTTTTCAGAAAAAAAAAGTAAATTTATCTAGTACAACTTTTTTTCTATTTCTTTCCATTACATACATCTTTACATTTTTACCTTATCTTAATCAATTCAAGAAAATATGCAAACCAGCAAACCATCTTACCTTATCCTATTCACAGTCCTTTTCCTCGTATTCTGTGTCTTCATCTTCAATTCATCGGTTCTCGCACATCCGCTTCCCGTAAATCATCCACCACCAATGAATATTGCTAATGTTGCTAATAAAAACTATCAAGGCAATCAAGGCAATCAAGGCAATCAAAACAATCAAGGCAATCAAAACAATCAAGGCAATCAAGGCGCGCATTCGGATTCTGTTACTGGATACTACAAAAATTAATGTTCGATTTAAATCAGTTTAAAAGCTGTTATAGCGTATGCGCGTATATTTTCGAGCTGTTATAGCGTATGCGCGTATATTTTCGAACCGTTAGAATATATTTTATTACATAACACACATGTATATATCTCAATATATATAATATTCACAATTCGAATAAGTTATTTTAATTGAAAATAAATATGATTTTTTAGCGATTTTTATTTAAATGATAGGAACAAGCTATTAGAAAATACTATTTTTTCGAAGAAAACAGCAATATCCTTCCAAGTTTGCTGATACAGTATGGGACAAAAAATCTTGCCCTCGATAGTCATGTGGTTTAATCATGTGATGCTTGACGTATTTGAAGTAAATAAAATTTACTATATATTTAACGCGTATCGCGTCTTGTAAGTTTTTGTTTTCTCATTGCACTTTGAACCGTTACATTGTCAATTATTTTTCAAACAACAATTCAAATATTCGTACAAGATAAAAAATCAATACCTCAAGTTATTTCTGGAATCAAGAGATACGATCCCCTCTAGAAATTCATAAAAAAACTAACATCCCAATTAGGATAATTAAATATAATATTAAAAAAATAAAAGACACTGGCAGTGTTGCACGCAAACAAGGAAGCCGTCCGTCATCCTAAAAAAATCATGCCAATGCATCCAAGGCTATCAGTCAATATTTGAGATGAGATCCAACTGCCTCATCTCGAAAGATGGTGCCTAAATTGGCTGAAAAGGATCTTGAACTATTCGTATAGAATGATTTCAAGATATTTGGAGGTCTGGGTTATAAGAATAATGTGCCTGTGACTATCCCGATAATCTTAAACAAATACGAATTGAATGGGCTTATGCTCGCTTTAATGATAACTGGCAGAAAACTCTTTTTACGGATGAAACTGCATTTCAGTTAATTTTGGAATACTATAGCGCAATGGTATAAAGGTGCCCAACCCATCCATCCTATTCCAAAAAATCATGTCAAAATTTTTGCTTGGGGTGGATTTTGCGTGAAGGGCAAAACAAGCCTTTATTGCTTTCAAGGCATAATGACAAGGCTAATATACATTGAAATTCGTCAGAGGTACTTATCTGAAATACGACAAATACTCTGAAGAGTCTGGCACTTCCAACAAGATAACAATCCGAAGCATACAAGTTCTGTCACTAAACAATTTCTTCAGGCCAATATGTCCATAATTATTGACTGACCATCGAATAGTCCTAATCTTAACCCAATAGAAAATCTATAGAGCATAGTTAAAACTAATGTAGAAAGGCGAAGACTAACAAATCTTAATGAATTAAGGCGGTTTATGGTAAAAGAGTGGGATAATATTCCAGATTCAATTGTAAGAAATTTGGTAAACTCGATGAAAAGACGTTGTGAGTCAATTATTGAAAGCAATGGTGAACGAATTCCATTTTAATTTTTATAAATACAATCTGTGCGTTTTACAGTTTTAAACGAGGTATTTTGAGTCCCAATTCATTTGCTCATTGTAAAGTTATTGTGATTTTACCGAGTGCAAGATTTTTTGTCCCTACGTATGGATGGCCGTTTTAAGTACATGTATTAATTTAGTATTGACCGTGATCTAATGCTAACATGTTATGTTCCGAGCTCTCAGTCTTTACTTTTCAAGTGCTAATATCCAATTCCGATTAGTTTCAATGAATTCAAAGGATACATCAAATTCAATATTTTTAAGAAAATGAGACGCGCGGCGCTATCGTACGTTACATTTTGATCTCTATTGTGGTAATTCTGAATTTCGAAAGATAATGACTAGTAGAACGTTGCTATTCTTTTACCAAATATTTTTCAAAATTATTTTTTATTTGCTTTTATCTGATGAGATTATGTATGCACCTGTATTCAATTAGAGAGACTCTTTTACTATGCATTAGAATTATGAAGAAATATTCACGTGTTTGTATGAATCACGCATTTGCACTTCAGTACCGTCTGGAATAAATAATTTATTCTTATTTTAGGTCATACTAACAAATATCTCGATCGCTCAAAGATTTCACAGCGATTTTTTATGATGCAACTTCTAAAGTTAGGCAATAAGTCACATGCAAAGCATTGATTGTGTCATGAGGACCCCATTTCTTTGAAAGGACATAGGGAAGAAAATTGCCCTTATTAACACAATATTCGAAAATTTGTTATACAAATTTCTAAATAGTCTAAACACGTATAACCAACTATATTAACCAATAACTGATAAAGAACTTGTCCACCTCTTTAGCGGTAATACTAGTGTGCTTGGATCATTGTCTTGCGGAAAGTGCCAGACACATCCCAGCATTCGTTGGATCCCATGTAAAAGTTTCTGCAAAATTTCAACATAATAAGAGCCTGTCATTATTTGCCGGAAGCAGAACAGACTCAATTTTTAAAATCCGGCCCAAACAGACAATTTTTTGGGAGACCTTTATACCATTGCTTTATGATATTTGGAACAACTATAAGGTATTTTTAATTTCATCTGAAAAAGGTCCGATTTCAATTATTGTTAAGGTGAGCTCGAGCATATTTCTCTTTATGCGCACTGATAAGCATTGGCGAAGCTATTTAAGAATCACCAGATACTTTCGAAACACGCTTCAACGCCTTGTTCTTCAATTTGATTGCAAATTATCGAGAAGAGACAGCTGGTTCTCGTCTTAAATACAGACCAAGTGCCTTAGAAGATGCGGGCGTGGTTTTCTTGTGATAGTCACTACCTTTTTTACGAACAGTACTTCTAGTTATTTTTAATTTTCGGATGTTGGATTTAATAGGGTATAGATTTTATAAAACTCTTTGGGGGGGGTACGTATCTCGTTCGTTATTCCAGATTTGAAGATGTGTATTACGATCTTATGATAAAAGTTATTATTGAAACTACTCTAATACACATGTAGAATATATGATTCATTTTTCTTCATTATTGTCTTAATTTTTCTCAACAACATTCCCTTTAATCTCATCATCGTATTCCATTTCAGCATCGTTTTTTCCGTTAACATTAATTGGCATATTAACAATATCGACTTCTCAAAAATCATCTGCATAAAACTCGTTACCTCAAAATCTTGTTTTTACTGTGCATACATGTAATGACGCGTACTAATTAATGATGTATTGTATCAACGTTAACAATGAACAATAAATTTTCCTGTTGATTGCAATTATTTAATCAAACATAGCGTATTTTTTACTTAATAAAAAAGTTTCATTGTTTCGGATTAAGGAATGTATCTTAATTCCATTGGCTAAAATTATTTCTGGGATTGTTAATGGGTGCTCCAGTTATATATAAAACATATAACCCACGCCAGGAGTTGCCTCAGAGTGGATTATACGTTTTAATATAAATTGGAGCACTCAAATTGCTTATATATATATGTGTGTGCGTGGATGTATATAGCCATTATTCATTCCACATCACATAAAATTTTGTATTCATATTTTAATAAATTTGACTTTTTTCGTGACTTACAAAATAAAAAGGGATAAAACATCGTAGAAACTTTAAGCTTATTTTCTAATGAAATGAATATATCAGGCATTTAGAGAAACATACTTAATTAGAAAACTTAAGACACTCCGTCTTTCACATAATCTTTATATGTATGTGTGGCCTCTTTACTCATCCACAAATAATATCTTTTATAAATCATCGTTTCATATGATGTTTTTAAAAACTATAATAAACTCGCAATAGTGCCGTGGCATTTTATATTATTTTGATAAAATTATTCAATCAATTTTGATTTTGCTAAAATCTAGAAATTTGATATGAATTTAACGTTTTAATCTTTTTATATATACAATTATAATTATTTCAATTATAATTAGATTTTGTACTTTACCGTAAAATCACGAAATAACGAGCATGGGCGTTATTTCAAGAATCGCACCCTTTAAAGTAGCATAGTTGGTAAATAACGTCCATGTGTGTCCCGAAATAACGCGCACCTTACCAGATTTAAAGTATGTGTGTTACACGCAGTAATTTATTAATTAAGACAAGTCGTATAATGCATTTTTTAATGGATCTACCCCAAATCCCGAAAGCAAAATCCCGACTTCTTAACATTCCGACATTCCCAAAATCCATACTAAAATCCGGACATTAACTCAAATTATGCAATAAAACATTGATGCAAGGTGTAACATGTATATTGATGCGCGTGTAAAAGGGTGAAATTTGTATTAGCCTTAAATTACCCTTACTCTTTCATATATACACACCTTTACACCTCTATTTATTTTTTAGGAATATCTGGATGTTGGATATGTAGGGATTTTAGCGTTTAGGATTTCGATCATTAGAACTTGTGATTTGGCGATTCGGGGCTTCATACCAGACCCATAGAGATGAAAGAAATCTAAATTGACATTCTATAATATGTCGCCCATGGGCGTTATTTTGAAAAGATCAGGTTTAGAAAATCTCCTTTATTTCCGAACTAACGCACATGTGCGTACTCGAAATTACGCGCAGATGACCGAAATAACCCGCTATTTCGCGGTTTTACGGTATGAAACAATTGTGCATTCAAACCCGGGCACAATGATCCCTGTATAACGAATTTGATCGTTACTAGCTTTCTCAATTCCCCGATTCTAATAAAAAGCATTTACTGATAATGATTTTCTTTACAATATTCGTTATAACGAGCTTTTGAGCCTGCTTGGGTCAAACCGTCGCTATATTCAGTTTTGACTGTATAAACAATACAAAAGATATAAGTGAAATATTATAAAGTTTGTTTGACATAAGTTTTATTCTGAAATCAAAAAATATATTAAAATGTGCTTATCTACAAAATACATAGTTTCAGAATATATAATCAAATTTAATTAAATTTTTAATTTTATTGGCATACATATAGTTTTATAGATTTTGACCTAATTCATATTATATTATAAATGATCTAAATACTATATCGAGTTCTTAAAAAGTATATTATTTAAATAATTTTACATATTCATATTATATAAATATAAATTTTGGATATCTCTCATCGTCGTAGAATATAACTATATGACTCAATGCTGTTGCAAGTCTCATAAAAGACCAAACATACCCTGCTACAGATTGGAAGATTGTGGTATTACTCAACTTGACTATTATTATAGCATCAAATTTAAATTAATTCAATTAATTACATTTTATTACTTGAATAAGTTATCAATTATTCAGAATCAAAATTAAATAAATATTTGAATTATTTATTTGTTTGTGCAATAAAGATATTATAATGCTTTCAATAAATCTGTTAATGCCTTGACATATTATGCAAAGATATTTTAGTTCGAAGTGTAATGTTCTTATTGTTAGTTTTGCAAAATTTATTAAAGCAACGTTCTATTTGTTTGTTATTTTGCTCTATTTCTTAATAAGCTGATCCTTGCTTGTACTATTATCGAGTATTTTATTAAAATTCATTTATAATTAAATAAATATCATCTAAGTGTGTTAATTTGTACATGTATATGTATGTTCCAAATGATCTGAATGAAGGCAAAAAACACCATACTACCGCATAAAGCAATGTTATCTTTTTTATATTAAAAAAATACAAAATGGAAATAGAAAGATGAAATCTGTTTCTTCTTCTTCTTCTATCGATGATATTTTCAAGTGTAAGTTCGGCTAGACAAGTTAGTTTAACTGATATCAACAAATCTAAGCAAAATATTAAGTTTATTTTGAATTCACATACGGCATTTTCAATATCGTTGCCCTTAATTTAAAATGGCGTAACTGTGAATAGGAGTGTTAGACTGAATATTTTACAATTAAAGAGGTTCTTTAATGTGGTTTCCTGTGGCGGCTTGTACACAAATCGACTTTAGTAATAAAATCGGAAATAATGAAATAGATTGCACGGAAATTTCTGATGACCAACAGCAAAAGACAAAAATACAGGACTTATTGACGCAGCTTGGTAATGACACAATATATATATGGTTTCAGCTAACCAAAAACTAACGAATTTAAAAACAAAGGTTGGACTTAGCTTTTGCCAACAAAAATAATTGGACTTAATTTTTGCCAACAAATCAATAGAAAAATTCGATGTATGGATTATTTATAGTGAAGTTCCTCCACTACTTGCACAGCCAAACTTGAAGTTAATCAACGAAATAAGTAACAAATAAGGTAAGTGCTATTTTATTTTATTGGATTGATCATATTATTCTTTGTTAAAGAGATTCTCCTTTTATCCTTTTTTTTTTCTTCTTGCTTCGATCTAACTTCCTACGACTCATAATTACTAAGGAACATGCGATGTCAGCAATATAAGAAACTACAAAAGAAAATTTGCAATTACACATAAAGAAAAATACTAGAGAAAATATTCAAGAAAATACAAGAGAAAGTTTGTAAGAAAATAATGAACAAAAATATATAGGAAAACACGAACCATAAAAGGAAGTTTCACGAGTTGTACACGTAACAATAAGAATATTATGCGTGTTATTATTGTTTTTTTCAAATTTGATTCGCTGAAAATCAATAAAACATGCATGCATAAAGTTACACGAAACTCCTATAGACGATAAGACAAAGACGACAAATATAATTAAAATAGTTGTGTGTACATTTTTGAGGAAAGACAAAGGCATGATAAACACTAAATATAGGACATAATTTGGTTTGATAATACACGTATTGTTAATATTAACAAATTATCAATATGACATGATTTAGTGATACTCGATATCGATATACATGTAACATATGATATACAATTTTGCAATTTCGTTTTGCGATTGATGCCTAATGATTATGAAATGAAACAATTCAATTTGCCGATTGCTTTTTCTGAATTGATAATGTAATGAAACAATTTTATCTGCCAATCCCTTTCCATTGCTTTATTTGCCATAGATACTGAATTTGAAACCCAATACTTATAGCGCACGCGACTCGTTTCTGAAGAGTGTAACAAGCGTTCAATCATATAAACCGATGGCATTCTCGCCTTGCTAGAGATCTTTATACTGTCTACTCTCGCATATCCTACACAATGAAAGTCGTCATAATCCCGCTTAAAGAACTGGATGCACCTGGTTGTAATTACTTTCAACCTAGTCATGCTTTCAACGCAGAGTGGTGTCTTGATCTCCACGGTTTTCTCAATCGCGACGAGTTCAACACTCGACTTAATGAAATCAACGACTATATCAAAAAGTATCCACTATTGAGCGAAAAAGCGAAGAATTTTCTTAAGTCGGTCTGCATCGGAGTTGCCGTGCTCGTAGGTCTATTCTTTATTTTAGCTCTTCGTTCCGTAGACTATCAAGTTACTCCTTCTATAATCGTCGAAGTCTGCAATTTTATCGGATACTGGGTGGGTAAATATTGGATCGAAAGAATAGCAAAACGTCGAGCAAAAGAATTCACTGCTGCCTTAAACAGTTTGTTCGCACGATACAACATAAAACAGAAGGAAAACCCAACTGCCAATTGGAGGCTTGTATGGCGCTCTAGGCTCAAACATTTTTCAATAAGTATGCAAACAAGCAAGGATGGGAGGAGCATCAAAGGGCGAGCCACACCGAAATATGCCGAGCATGCAGAGATAGCGCTTGAAATTCATGACGCCCTCTCTGATCTTACCGCTAATACCGTCCGTGTGAACATTGCGGCGGACGCCATTTCTTAGAACTTGCCATTATCACGTGATACTCAAAAAGAAGATTGTCAGTAAATTCTTTATAAAATATTTATACATTTCCGTAACTACTGTGGGGTAGATAATTTATTCGTAACAGCTATGACATGAAGCGCGTTCAATTAAATTATGCACATGTATATAGAATTTTTGGTTTAACCCTGGTGGAATAGCCAACTAAATTCTGTATTACAAGAACGCATCGCATTTATTATGTCATTATTTAAAACTTTTGAACATATATTTTGTATATAGAATACTACACATAATTATTATTAATAAATTTTATATACATGTACATGTAATTGTAGTAAAATGTTTCTATTGATCATGTAAAAAATGTGGTACATTAATAAAAGCACACGCATAAACGAAAGTTAAAGGTTAAATTCATGTGATTGTTATTAAATGTAATTTTAATGCATCTACTGTTCTGTATGCTGATGCTTAAGGTTTAACAATTGGAAGTGTAAAGTTAGTGTTAATACAGCAAGAATATACATGTACATGTACATGTAATAGGGTTTTTTGTGCCCGATCACATACAAACTACATTGTATGTATAAATCATTACGTATTGATAAAATAAACCCAATGATAGGATCAACTTCTTATGAATGCTAGGCATATCAAAAAGAATTTACTGTTCAGTTCACAGTACTCATGATATATCGAGTGCAGCTGTCTCGGAATGTTCTGGCGAAAATAAAGATATTGACAGTCTAATAAAAAAATGCATAAAATTAAACATTTTTATCAATCTTTGAATATGTTGCAAAAGAAGTTTAAGAACAATCTATTATAAGTTCTAATTAATTCGTTCTGTTTTTCTTCATTATGTTATTGGTTTATTCTGTCTGATTGTATTTTTGGCTCATCCTTTTGTTCTGCTCTCTGTTTATAAATTTTAATTTAGAGATTGGAACCATGTGCAAAAACTTCACACAAATACCCAGGATGAATTTGGATTAAACTTTTTCACCCGGTTTTTTGTTATTTTTTTTTGTATTTTCATTACTAAAGTTTCAAACTCATCTTCAGCTTCAAAAACACATCATATCAATCATGAATAAAAGGTCAATCGATCCTTAATTAGTTCAATAATTCATAATTTCTCTAACGCTAATTACTAGTTTTAATGTTATTGTAACTGTTCACACATCAAATCTATTATTGCCGTTGCAACGAGAAATCCCGTGATTGTCGGATTTTATGAAACGAACCCGTGGTCAGTTTAATTGGTTAAGTACCACACAGGCAATGCGTTACATGTAATTTTGCTTAAGATAAAATTTGTCAAAACGTACAAACACATTCAGAGAAAAATGACACCTGATTTGCTATTGACTTCACACTCGAATAGATTCGATAAATTCTATGAAAATTCGAATTATTATGATATTTCAATTATTGTTGGTGAAAACCAGAATTCTCAACGTACTTTTTCAGCTCACTCAGCAATTTTAGTGGCGCAATCGCAATATTTTGCAACTGCGCTTTCTGGTGCTTGGGTGAAACGAGAACCGAATAAGATGATTATTTTCAAGAAACCGAATATCGAACCTAGAGCTTTTGAAGTATTGTTAAGGTAATTTCATAATGCGCTATTATTATATAAATTAATAAGGAAAATTGCCTGATTAAACTTTTTAATAGATATATTTACAGCGGCAAAATCGATTTACAAGTTCATGGAGTTTCGACACTTTTGGATCTATTAATTGCAGCCGATGAGTTAATTCTTGAGGATCTGATTGAATATATCCAAATTAAACTTCTCGAATACCATTCGAAATCTTTGACAGAGAGTTTCACCTTAATCAATCAAATTGCATTCGAGCATAACTCTTTTACCAAGCTTCAGGAATTTTGCATAGATATTACATGTAAAGATCCGGCTGTTATTCTTCAGTCAACCGATTTTACCAACTTGCATGAATCAGCTTTAGTTTGTTTACTTAAACGCGATGATCTAAATGTAAATGAAATCGACATTTGGGAAATGGTGCTTGAATGGGGAATCTCTCAAACTGCAGCTACTAATGAAATTAATCTGACAATTCCATTGGAAAAATGGACACATGACGAATTTAAGAAACTCAAGTCTACGCTCGAAAATTGTTTACCATTGATTCGTTTCTTCCACATCAATTCGGTTGATTTTTATAACAAAGTTATGCCTTATGCTGAAATTTTGCCAGGGACACTTTATAAAGATTTATTGCATCATTATTTGGTGCCGGGAAGCGAAGAACATAAGGTTAACTTAAACCCAGTTCGCTACAAGGCAACTATCGACTCTTCGATTCTTTCGCTGGATCAGTCCCGTAAAATAATTGATTGGATTAAAGAAATAGATGGTACTCAGAAAAACAATTCAATCGAATTGAAGTTACTATTACGTGGTAGTCGTGATGGATTTATGAATACAGAGTTTCATCGCTTATGTGATAATAAAGGTCCAACTGTTGTTGCTATTCGCGTGAAAGATGAGGAAAAGATTATTGGCGGTTATAATCCGTTTGAATGGAATTCATCTAGCGAAGACTACCCATCGTTAAATAGCTTTTTATATAAATTTAATTCTGATGACATTCAGGCTATAAATGGATTACTAAGCAAATATCAAGAAGGGCGAAGTGTAGGATGCCATGCATGTCACGGACCTATTTTCGGAAATGGTACTGACTTAAGATTAGTTGGTCCCAATTTTAGTACATCTAAAAATTATTGTTCGAAAAGCATTTCCTATGATCATGGCCTATTGAGCTCTAATACTTATGAAGTAAAATATTTTGACATTGTGGATTATGAAGTATTTCAAGTGATGCAGAAATAATATTTTTATTCATTTTTATGATAAAGTTAAACTATAATATTATTTCTTTAGGATAAAGAATTTTTATTTATGCATTATAATTAAAATGTATTGTTTATTAAATTATTATTATATTCGGATTTTACAATGAAAGGATTCTTTTTATATTCAATCAGAATATTTTAATTTTATTATTACAGTCCAGCACTTTGCTCTAATTTCCTTTTGTTATAAAAATTAACAATATATTCAGGGGCTTTTCCAAAAATGATCTTACATGCTAAATATAATATTAGAAAATTCATGAATAATAGAAAGAAAGAAAATGATTATTTAAGATTTAAAAAGTGGCTAATGAAATAATCCATCATTATTTCAAAAATATATGTTTGAATTAAAAAATCAATTTTAAAAAATTATTAAAAATATAATATTAATATTAATCAATAAAATAATTCATAAATTGTTCTATTTAAGCCTAGCAACCTGATTCAAATAAGTATGAAAATATTTTCTTTTTATATACAAATTCAAAGAAAAATTACAGAAAAAAATTTAATAGACTAAGTTTATTGTATTAAAAGAATTATCACAATGTTGTAATAAATTCGAAATACAAATAAAAGCGATGGTTAAATTTATAATTGCTATATATAAAAAAAGAGTTTTTCTTCATCTTTTAATTTCATATGACATACTAAGATCAAGATCTGTTTTGTAACAAAGAAAAAATAACAATGAATTAATGAAATTAATAAAAAAAAGAATATTTAAAAGTAAACTCACTTTCGTCTGGAGTATGCACACAGATACTCATAGGTCTATATTCAAATCAAATTTTAATTAAATATAATATCTTTCAAAATAGAAAATGTGCACTTGTATCAGTTGGAATTAATATTAATTTTGAGGCAAATATTCGACTAATGTAATTGCATTTTGATGATTTGTTTTTGTTCAAATTCATAGCAATGTTTTTTGATATTTAATTTTATCGAATTGCTGTCTTTCTAGTCTAACACATTCTTTATAGTGCTGAAAATGCAATGTACCGATCATAATCGACAATGTAGAGTAAATAAAGTCTTCAAGTTACTCAGAAGTTGGACTGTTTTCTGGAATAGGATCCCAACATTTTTCAGTAATAAATTTGCACCATCCGGGAACATTAACTAGTATCGTAGGTCGTACTCCTTTAATGACGATGTCTAATACGAGATAATGATCTGTTGCAATTTCGTACATAATCATTCCAAAACTATAAATATTTACAGCATTGGTCTATTTAGCACCTCTGGCTATATAATGAAGTATCCCACAAATTTCTTGCTTAGTTATTTTTTGGAATGCTAAGTCCAAAAATCAGAAATTTGAGGAGTATAATATCTCGCATAAGATATCCAATACTGCGCCAAAATGCCAATTTTTTTTTGTTGCAAATCTTATATATATTAATTAAACTGATCAATCAGAAGCAATTAAAAAAATTTTAAATATATATATTTTATTTTTATATAATAAATACCAAATTTCCAACCATATATAAAATTTAAAGTGTTATAACTTTTTAAAATTATAATTAACAAAAATCTGTTTTAAAGAATTATAGCTTAGACAAAAAGCAACAAATTTATAAGAGGAATTTTTGTTAAAATTATTTATTTTTAAGTTATAATACTTTTTATATTTCATATAAATATTAAATATCTTATGCTATCCCTCATTATATATCTCAAATTATTGATAATCTTATATAAATATTCTGATTTTGATACTAAGTCAATTTGAAATTAATATATTTATAAAGATTATTCTGTTTTACATATAAGTCATTATCATTAAATATTTATTCATAGTTGAGTTTTTAGTTATTTCATATAGTTATTATAATTATATATTTAAAAATAATCTGAATTTCTTTTGAATATTTGATTATATTAAAAACAAAACCAATTTTTAAATTTTATCTGACACTTTTTTGAAATGATTATCTGATTTAGTATTATTCATCCTGGAAAAATATCAGTATTAAAGATGACTTCTCAACTAGTTGCAGCTTGTGGCAGCCAATCAGAGAATTATGACAGAGTTATGGCTAGTTGCAGCTCCCATTACTAATTAGTATCATGTAATTTTAAGTAAATAAATCAAATTTTATACAAAAAAATAAAGT